GAACTCTTGACCACATGACCCCTAAAGACACATTAAAAAATTAAAGCATGCAAACTGTCTGTCTGTCTATCTATCTATCTATCCATCCATCTATCTTTCTATCTATCTATCCGTCTGTCCGTCTATCTATCCATCTATCTATCCATCTGTCCATCTATCCATCTATCTATCACACTGCATTTGGCGCACAGTATTTTTTGTATGGAATACTTGATAACCTACTAAATTTAGCAAAATTTGCAGTATAGCACATTGTGTAATTTTCTGTATCCCACGCAAAGCACTCAAACTAACTTTCTATTTCATTTTAGTTGACCTTGATCTGCAGAATGATGAATCTAAATGAAGACTCATTATTTGTTGCCAAAAGCTAAAAAAAAGTTCACAAAACTGGATTAAAAATGCAAAATTAACTATGCTCGAGATGTAAAAGTAATAAGATCACATGACCACAATATAGTATACTAACTGAAACTTAACCACATATTTAGCCAGTATACAATAAGTACCCTAGTTTTCCATTCCAAGCACCGCCCATCACTGTAACAATGACTCTCCTCAGTCTGATTTCATTACTCCTCCTGACCTGCTGGGGGCGCTGTTGTCCAGGAGCGGTTTCCTCTTGGAGGAGCGGACGGGTGTGGGTGTGAGTGGGCCGGGTCGCTCCGTCAGGCGCTGAGTCTGGAAGGCGTGGTGGTTCAGACTCTGTTCAGTCAGATAGCGCTCATTCGGGTTCAACAGCAACAGGTTCTGAAAATACAAACCACAATGACATGGATAATCCTGGTTGACAGTCTTAATTATTCGACCTCATGAAAACATTTCACAGTAGAAAAAAAATTTACAAGAGGAAATTAAGTCTATTTTTTACACTGTGACACTATTTTCATGACAACTAAGCATACTGCCCCTAATTGTTATTATAATCAAATTTAACTTACAATATTTTACAATAAATTTTTTGCAATGTATTACATTGTAGAACATAATGATTATATACA